GAGGCAGGAGAGGACAGCATGTAGGGGAGTGTCCCTCATCACAGAGGCGGGAGATGGGAGACGAGACAGAGGAGGGGTTTGAGGTAGAAGGCACAGGAAGTGCAAAATTAAGAAATTCTAAGGAATGGGTGACTTCAAGAAGGAGGAGGTAGTCAATAATACCTAATGCTAGATAGCGCAGTGAGGATCAGGACCAAGGAGAGGGAAGTAAACTGGCCTCCCACAGGTCAATGCAGATGAAGGAGAGCCAGAGGCTGAAACTGGACCATAGAGGGGTGGTGGAGCAGAGCACCAGACAAAGTGGCAAATGAAAGTGGAACAGTAACGGACATGGGGAGCGGGATTAAGATGTTCAATTCATTAAGTACCACACTGAGGCAAGGATAGGATATAAACATTAAAGACAAGGCCGCAGTGTTCACATCAAAATGTGCTAAGCCCTAATTGAGGTTCTGAAAGCTAATGGAAAACAAGAAAAGAGACAGCAATTTCCCTTGTAGGATATTGGGCTTCTTGTAGCAGGGCGAGCTGAGACAGGCCTTTGTGGACAAGCAGGAAGTCTACCAGCAGACCAGGAGGAAGGGTATCCAAAGGGACAAAGTGTCTTCTGCACAGTGAGCTGGGTCTATGGGGCCATGAGTTTGTTTGCAGGGGTGGGGCCTTAGGGAAGAAGCTTGGCAGGGAGGAGAAACCTGAATACTTGAGAAAGAGAAGGAAGGAACAGCAGAGGCAGAGGATGTTCCCAACACCTAATGCAGGGCTGGGGTGGGTGCCCAGGGAGGGGTTAGCCCTGGATGGGGGTGAAGGAGGGTGTCATACCACGAGGATGCAGGAGTCTTTCAGGAGCAAAGAGAGATGTATCAGCTTACAGTGTTGTTCTAGAGTGAGGCCTTCTGCCTTCTATTCTGAGAGATTAGATCATAAGAAGGAGAGAGACATACTGCATCTAATTTATATGTGCATTATATGCTACTTTGTTCAAAAAAGGGATGATGGGGAGACCCCACCTATACCCCCAAATACTCTTCAAAGGGAAGTGTGTTAAAGGCTCTGAGGAGATTTTAGGTGCTCCTGTGAGCTATTTGCTTGGTCAGTTTGCATTTTCACATATGCAGTTTTCCTCAGGAAAAGTGCTCTCCTACTTGAGTGTGCAACAGAAAGGGAGATAAGCAGGTCCTGGTGAGGCCATCTTTGCACTGCACAGAGGTAATTCCAGAAGTTTTAAAAGACTCACAATAGCCAAAATATGCAATTAACCTAAGTGTGCAATTAATGGATGAGTGGATAAAGAAAATGTGGTACATGTTTACAATGGAATACTACCCAGCCTTAAAAAGAGAAGGAAATCCTGTCATTTGTGAAAACATGGATAAACCTGGAGGGTGTTGTGTTAAGTGCAGTAAGTCAAGTATAATCTCACTTTTTATGTGTAATCAAAGAAAGTTGAACACAGGGAAGCACAGAATAGAGGGTAGTTACCAGGGGCTGAGAGGGCTGGGAGGAGGAATTGGAAAGATGTAGATCAAAGGACACAAAGTTTCAGGGATACAAGAGGAAAAAACTCAAGAGAATCTATGTATAACACGGCAATTATAGTTAATAACAATGTATATACTCAAAATTGCTGCGAGATTGTGAGGATTCTCACTACCAACCCCCCCAAAGATAAATGTGAGGTAATGCATGTTAATTACTTTGACATTCCACAGTGTATATAGATTTCTCTCTTTCTTTATTCTTGAGACACAGTTTTACTCTGTAGCCCTGGGTAGAGTGCTGGGGCATCATCATAGCTCACAGCAACCTTAAACTCCTGGGCTCAGTTTCCTGAGTAGCTGGGACTACAGGTGCCCACTACAATGCCTGGTTAGTATTTTTGTATTTTAGTAGAGAGGCTGTTCTCAAACTTCTGAACTCAAGGGATCCTCCTGCCTTGTCCTCCCAGAGTGTTAGGATGACAGGCTTGAGCCACTGCGCCTGGCTGATATCTGTATTTTAAAACATTATGCTGTATACCATAAATATGTACGATTTTTTTCACCTGAAAAAAAAATGCACCCCAGGCAGCTTCCCTCCTAAGCATTCTTTCAAACAAGACCGTTCTTTACTAACCCTAATTTTTACTCCTTATGTAACACAGCTGGTTGTGTTAAAGGTTTGGGTGGTACTGAGCAAAAAACAAAGGGAAGAGAAAGAGGAGAAAGTCCTACAAAAAGCTCCCTGCCCCAACCCCCAAACGTGATTGGTGGGCCCAGTGTCACCTGAATGATAGTTCCAGAGGACGAGGACATTCTGTCTTCCTCCATGTGCTTGTCAAGCTTCCCGAGCACAGGCCAGGACCAGGAAGATGGCTCTGCTTTCTTATCTCCATTCTAGCACAGAGGGGAGCAATTTCCAACTATCATCACCAGCACCCCACTCATTCATCTCTTTTATGTAAGACTCCATGGACCAGGCAGTGTAACCATAGCCCTTATTTCCAGCACTCCCCTCATTTTTCATCTATATTTTTTGCTAACTAAAACATGTTTCCAAGTGTGGTTGATCTTTCTGAAGCCTAAAAAATATTTTTTAAAAGTAGGGATGTAGGGTGAGGGTGGTACCTCACACCTTTAATCCCGGCAGTTTGAGAAGCAGGGGCTGAGGATCATGTGAGGTCAGAAGTTTGATATCAGCCTGAGAAAGATCAAGACCCGACCTCTAAAAAAAAACAAAAAACAGAAAAATCAGCTGGGTGAGGTAGTACATGCCTGTAGTCCCAACTATAGAGACTGGGGATGGGGGAAGATTGCTTGAAACCAGGAATTTGAGGTTGTAGTGAGCTATGATGCTACTGTACTCCAGCCTCGGCAACAGAGCAAGACTCTGTCTCCAAATTAAAAAAAAATATGAAAATTTTAAAAACAATGAAAGTAGAGATGCAGTTCATGTCACACAAAGGGGATCTTTAACATAATGCTTTAGTTTTGGGAGGCCAAGGTGGGTGGATTGCCTGTGTACATGGATTTGAGACCAGCCTGAGCAAGAGTGAGATCTCATCTCTAAAAACAGTGGGGCACCTATAGTCTCAGCTGCTCAGGAGGCTGAGGCAAGAGACTATCTTGAGCCCAAGAGTTTGAGGTTGCTCTGAGCTATGATGCCATAGCTCTCTATTGAGGGTGACAAAGTGAGACTGTGGGTCAAAAAAAAAAAAAAAAATAGTGGTTTAAGAATCTAATCTGCTTTGGTAAATATAACTTTCAGTGCTATCTTTAAAATAATAGCTAGATGGGTATAAGAAAAAGTTCTTGACATCACTAATCATCAGAGAAATACCAATTAAAACCACAATGAAATATTGTATACCTGTTAGAATGGCTTTTATAAAAATTATAAAAAATAACAAGTGTTGGCTCGGTGCCTGTGGCTCAAGTGGTTAAGGCGCCAGCCATACACACCTAAGGTGGCGGGTTCGAATCCAGCCCAGGCCCACGAAACAACAATGATGGCTGCAACCGGAAAAAAAATAGCCAGGTGTTGTGGCGGGCGCCTGTGGTCCCAGCAACTTGGGAGGCTGAGGTAGGAGACTCGCTTGAGCCTAGGAGTTGGAGGTTGCTGTGAGCTATGCCACGGCACTCTACCCAGGGGGATAGCTTGAGGCTCTGTCTCAAAAAAAAAAAAAAAATAACAAGTGTTGGCTCAGCGCATGTAGCTCAGTGGTTAGAGCACCAGGCATGTACACCACGGCTGGCAGATTCAAACCCAGCCCAGGTCTGCTAAACAACAATGACAACTGCAATCAAAAAAATAGCCGGGCATTACGGTGGGTGCCTGTAGTCCCAGCTACTTGGAAGGCTGAGGCAAGAGAATCACATAAGCCCAAGAGTTTGAGGTTGTTGTGAGCTGTGATGCCACAGCATTCTACTGAGGGCGATACAGTAAAAAAAAAAAAAAAAGTGTTAATGAGGTTGTAAAGAAAACACTTGTATACTGTAGGTGGGAATGTAAATTTGTACAGTCATTATGGAAAACAATATGGAGGTTTCTCGACAAATTAAAAATGTAACTCCCAGATGATCCTGCAATCCCACTACTGGGTATATAATCTAAAGGAAATGAAATCAATGTGTTGAAGAAATATGTAGATTCCCAAGTTCACTGTTCATTCACAACAACCAAGATATGAATAACATAAGTGTACTCAACAGATGAATGGATAAAGAAAATGTGGGACAGGCTCAGCGCCTCTAGCTCAGAGGCTAGGGCACCAGCCACATACACTGGCACCGGTGGGTTCAAATCCAGCCTGGGCCTGCCAAACAACAATGACAACTACAACCAAAAAATAGCCAGGTGCCTGAAGTCCCAGCTACTTGGGAGGCTGGGGCAAGAGAATTGTTTAAGCCCAAGAGTTTGAGGTTGCTGTGAGCAGTGATGTCACAGTACTCTACTGAGGGCGACACAACAAAGTGAGACTCTGTTTCAAAAAAAAAAAAAAAGAATGAAAGAAGAAAATGTGGTATATATACACAGTGGAATGTTATTCAACCTTAAGAAGAAGGAAATTCTATTATTTGCAATACGATGGACGAATCTGGAAGACGTTCTGTTAATGAAGCAAGCCAGGCACTGAAGCACAAACACTGTGTGATTTTCCACGTATGTGGAATATAGAAAAGTCCGACTCACAGACACAGAGAGTGAAATGACAGTTGCCAGTAACTGAAGGGAGGGAATGGTAGGGGGTTGGGAAACATTTATCAAAAGACATACAATTTCAGTTGGACAGGAGGAGTATGTTCAAGAGATCTGTACATATTGAAGGCTACAGTTAGTATACAGTTGAAAATTGCAAAGAGTAGCAAAAGACCAACTTCATTTCCTTTGGGCTGTATACCCAGCGATGGGATTGCTAGGCCATACAGTAGTTCTGTTTTTAATTTTTTGTTGTTGTTGTTGCAGTTTTTGGCCAGGGCTGGGTTTGAACCCGCCACCTTTGGCATATGGGGCCAGTGCCGTACTTGTTGAGCCACAGGCACTGCCTGTTTTTAATTTTTGGAGAAACTTTTATTCTGTTTTCCATTTTCCACAAAAAATAAGCATACACATGCTAATTAGCTCAATTTAGCCATTCCACAATGTATATACACATATACTGTACCAAGACATGCTGTATACCATAAAAGTATATAATTTTTACTTGTTAACTTAAAAAACACAGCTTGATGAACATGCACTTTTTGTTGTTGTCAAAAATGCACAACAAATACTGTAAGCACCAGCTCAGGCACAAATACCAAATTTCAAATACCAGTATCTCAAATTAACATCATACTCAAATGCACTCTTGTTAGCCCTGGTCTTTGTCCATTCTCACAATACCCAACAGGAGCGTGATCCGTTAGCAAAGTTACCTGAGGGTGGAAGAACTCAGTAAACCTGTACTCTTCCCCGTGGCACCAGCCAGTTGCGCCTCCTCCATCCTCTACGATAGTGGTTCTCAACCTTCCTGGTGACCCCCAACCATAAAATTATTTCTGTTGCTACTTCATAACTGTAATTTTTTTCTTTTTCTTTCTGTTTTTTTTTTTGAGACAGAGCCTCAAGCTGTCACCCTGAGTAGAAGGCTCTGGCATCACAGTTCACAGCAACCTCCAACTCCTGAGCTCAAGCGATTCTCCTGGTTCTGCCTCCCAAGAAGCTGGGACTACAGGTGCCCGCCACAACGCCTGGCTATTTTTTGCTTGCAGCCGTCACTGTTGTTTGGCGGGCGTGGGTTGGATTCAAACCTGCCAGCTCAGATGTATGTAGCTGGCCCCTTAGCCGCTTGAGCCATAGGGACCAAGCCCACAACTGTAATTTTGCTACTGTTATGAATCATAATGTAAATATCTGATATGTAGGATGGTCTACCCTGTGAAAGGGTTGTTGACTCCCAAAGGGGTCAGGACCCACAGGTTGAGAAGCGCTGCTCTAGGATAAGAGGGCTGTACTACCTGACAATGGTGCTATTTAACAATCTATAAAATGAGCATAAAATAAGGCTAGTGGTTACATGTAAGTCATAAAAACTATAATTTGCTTATTCCTATTGGCATAAGACCCATTATAAGTTTTTTGTTTGTTTGTTTTGTTTTTTGCAGTTTTTGGCCAGGGCAGGGTTTGAACCCACCACCTCTGGTATATGGGCCCAGTGCCCTAGTCCTTGAGCCACAAGCGCCACCCCCCATTTTAAGTTTTGTTTGTAAAGTGTGAAATGGATGGACTGCTGTCACTGTCTCATTCAACCAATTATAATGAAGTAGGAAGAATTCGCAGCATTAGTTGCTAATGTAACTCTTCCTGTCCTTGGTGATGCTGTTTGAGACCAAAAAAGTAATTAAAATATGGGGGGGGGAGTTCTTAAAAAATCACACCAGGAGTGCCAACCAAACAGCATTCGTTCAAAACTTCAGAGCCAAGTCCTCAGAAGTCAGGATACAGCAGAGAACCTCTTCATCTTCTCCCTGAATGACATTCATCCCACTTTCACATGAAGTAGGTTTACATGCACTCAAATGTTAATAACACAGATCTATTTCAATCATACTTGAAAAATATCAACATTAATTTTTCCAATCCTTAGGTTTCCATTCATTTTAAGATCTTTTCATTGACCTCCTTTTAGAAATTTAGTTCTAACAAACTTTAACAAGAATATGAGTTTCTTTACTTCACTCTTCACGGAGCCTTCTTCTGCCTCTTCCGCGACAGCTGCCAGCAAGGACAAGGAGCCTGTTCTATTCACCTGGAAGGCACAGCATAAAACAGCAAGAACACCCACGGTCAGTCTGCCGCTCCACGTCACCAGGATCCTGGCCCGACTGCATTTTTATGTAGCTAATATTTTACTTACTTTATCTGAAATGCCCACCCATGCAAGCAGCCTCTCGGTCCTGTACCTTTCAGCTCATCCAGCCAAATACCCAGACTGTCAAATCTTAGGTCTGTTCATTTGTATTCCTTCCCTGCTGTGGCCCCTCACCAAACAATTAAAGAATGTGATTCATCAATGCAGGTGCAGAGGGAGCTTAGAGAGGCACTGGGCCATCTCTGAGTTTCCAAGAGGCTGACTTTTCTATAGGAAGACACTTCACAGGGTGGCTCAGCCCACCTGCCCAAGGCATTTCACTAGCACACCCTGAAGTAACTCAGGCGTGAGAATTCTGGGTTGAATTCTGGGTTGAGTCCAGAGAGACACACCCTGAGGATGTCTAGCCACTGGTAAACAGCCTCAAGTACAGTATGTCCACTTTAAAAAATTCCTTTACTATGGGCCATAGACAGAGATGCTACAGTTTTTTCAGGTGAAAAACATTACCCCTCCATGCTCTTGTGTAACGTGGGACCAGCGTTCGCCTGGAATCATACCCACCTTCCACTCAGAAACATCCCTCTCTGCCTCTTCCCCCTCCTCGGGCACTGCAGCTGACGGCATTTCTCTTTCTGCTTCTTGTTGTTGCTTTAAATGCTGGTGAAGGTTTAGCACGGTGGCCTTCAAGTCCACCAAGAGGTCCTCTTTTTTCTGGTTCAAACTCAGAATCTGCTTTTCCATACCTTCAATTTCTCCCTGTGCAGAAAAAGTGTTTGCATTGTTTTGGGAAGTGTGAGGCCATAGCTTGCCCTGAGGAGACTGCCCTCTTTAGTATAAGGGATAAACTTTTCTCTGTGTTTTTGGTTTGTGAAGGCGGGAAATGGCCTCCGATAACAGTGTAGTTCCTCTCCAACTAGGCCCTGTGTGGGGCTTATGAAAAGTCTTAGCCTCACCAAAGACTTGTGAATCAGAATCTCTGAGGGGTCGAACCAAAGCACAGAAATTTATACAAAGCTCTATAGATAATCGTTGTGGATAGCCAGGAATGGGGGCCACTGCTCTAGCCATAGGACCCAGTGCCCAGGGGCCAGGGCCTGGGGCCTGCACTCTAAGAAGTGCAGCAAACTTCCTTATGGATACTTCCTATCTTGTCACACAGAATATGTCACACAGGAGACATGTCCCAAGTCTCCCCAGAAATTCCTACGTAGGCTAACATTTGGAAACGGCTGAGAGAAAATAGGTGAGAAATTTCATTCCCTAATTATTGCTTCTGAAGCCTCATTTATTATTCCAAATTTAGGTACAGTGAAAGCTTCCTGCCAAATCCGAGTGAACAAAGCAGTTCAGTGTAAAAACTGGGAATAACAGACACATGATCCATAATGTTATATTCAACATCTATATTATTGATATATGCAAATAAAAGTTATTACATGTGCCACATATACAGATGCCCACTGTGTAAGAGGAATATGGAATCAAAGAATCCTAGATGCGGACGGAATGGCAGGTGTCAAATCGTCAACATCCTCCTCTCTAGCACCTCTCAGATGAATCATCCACCCTGCTTGAGCTCTTAAGAGTTGCATCAGAAGGCAGCTGCTCCTTCTCAAAAAATAGTCATGTGGGGCAGTGCCTGTGGCTCAGTGAGTAGAGCGCTGGCTCCATATACCGAGGGTGGTGGGTTCAAACCCAGCCCCAGCCGAACTGCAACAAAAAAATAGCTGGGCATTGTGGTGGGTACCTGTAGTCCCAGGTACTCGGGAGGCTGAGGCAAGAGAATCACCTAAGCCCAGAAGTTGGAGGTTGCTGTGAGCTGTGACGCCACAGCACTCTACCAAGGGTGATAAAGTGAGACTCTGTCTCTAAAAAAGAAAACACACAAAAAAATCATGTGTTTGAAATTTGTTCCTAATATATTTCTTAACCCCCCATTCTTTTTTCTCCTTCTTTCCATCCATCCATCTGACAAATATTCATAGAATCATTAATTTTTTTAAATCTCAGAATGTTAGGGGGTATGGATGTTTTGTTTACATACTTTATTTTGTACAGATTGAGCCAAAGTTGTACACATGTGTCCTTCACCTAGTAGAATCGTTAATTTTTTTACAGACAGAAATGTAACACATCTCTGCCTACAGGGAGAGTTCTGAAGTCCAGAGAAAGAAGGTGATTTGTGCAAAGCTGCAGCTGGGCTTCCTGTGGCTCTACCACTCATAGTCCTGCACCAAGGCCCCTATTCTGTCTGAACTCAAAATTCCTGTGACACAACAAATGTTTAAATGAAATCGGAGTTGGCCGTGGTTTGTGTTCCACTTCTAATGAAATCATGCCTCCCAACAAGAGCAGTACTTCAGCCTCCTGAACAGCACTTAAACAGAATGGTCTGCTCAGCTGTCAGCACTATGGGAGGGGCAGCCGGACACAGAGCAGCCACCCCAAAGTGGAATCTGCAAACCCTTGGGGGGCCAGAGTCTGCAAGGCCAAAGATCCTTCTCATGATAATACTGAATGTTATTTGCCTTTTTCCTCGTGTTAGCATTTGTATTGACAGCATGAAAGCAACTGTGGGTAACACTACCAGCACTTTGTAGGAGTCAGGGCAGGAATACCAACTATATGCTTTGTTACTGAGCTCTACACCTTAAAAAAAAAAAAGCCAGTTTCGCTTAAGATGTCCTTGACAAAAATACATGTCTTAGTTCATTTCTGCTGTTATGATAGAATATCTGTGACTGGGTAGTTTGTAAGGAACAGAAATTTATTTCTCACACGTCTGGAAGTCCAAGACTCGGGTGTGGGCAGGTTTGGTGCCTAATGAGGGTGGTGCTCTGTGACCAAGGTGGTGCACTGAACACAGCATCTTCCAGAGAGGAGGAATGCTGTGTCCTCACATGGCAGAAGGCAGGAAGGCAAAAGGAACAAACTCCCTCCATCAAGCCCTTTTAAGAGAGCACCTAGTCCTCCTGGTGAGGGAGGAGCCTCATGACTCCGCCACCTCTCAGAGGCCACACCTTGTCGTACTATTGCACTGGGGATTGAGTTTCAACATGAATTTTCAGAGAGATGAAAACATCCAAACCCTAGCAACAGGTATTTTTAATATTCTTTGTGAAAAAGTGGGAAGTATGCATAAAACACTTCTGCTACATACCAAGGTACAGTGGTTGAGGGAAGGGATTTATGTCATTGTTTGAGTTGTAAGCTGAACTACCCTTTTTCATCAAACACAATTTTTGCTTGGAAAAGACCCAGTGGATAAACTGTACTTAGGAACTTAACTACTAAAAGATTTTTCTGGAGATAGATGTTAATATTAACAAATGTAATTTTTAAAAAATAATGATTATTGGCCTGGTGTCTATAGTTCAGCTGGTTGAGTGCCAGCCACGTACACTGAAGGTGGCAGGTTCGAGCCCAGGCTGGGCCTGCCAAACAGAAATGATAACTGCAACCAAAAAATAGCCAGGTGGGCGCCTGTAGTCCCAGTTACTTGGGAGGCTGAGGCAAGAGAATTGCTTAAGCCTAAGAGTTTAAGGTTGCTGTGAGCTGTGACGCCACAACACTCTACCGAGGGCGACAAGAGTGAGACTCTGTCTCCAAAAAAAAAAAAAAAAATGCTGACTACTGAAATGTGGTAACATCTGGATGATCTGCACAACTCAGTGAAATAAGATTTTCCAAATGACCAGGCATGATGTCATAAAATCACACACAGTGTCCCCATCAATTAGTAAGAGGTGAATAATGTGTACACATGGACATAGAATAATGGACAGTAAAGACTCAGGGTGGGAAGATGGGAAGTGATGAGGGGTGAAAAATTACTCAAGGGATACAATGGACATTATTTGGGTGATGTTTGCATTAAAAGAAAACCAAAAAAAATTGTATTATTGTTTGAGTTGTGAGACCTTCTTGCTCTACCAGATTCTGAACTTCACATTTTGCTCCATATCCACATAACTGAACGGCACTTGTACCCCCTAAGTCTACTTGTTAAATTCATGCATAGTTAGAAGGTCCACTCGCAGTGCAAGGCAGACCAATGGATTTTCATGTAAGAGTATGTAAAGTTCTTTGACATGGCTTCAGATTCCACTTTACAACTAACTTGCAAGTAATTTCCACTTGTTTCAGTGTCGTTTCAAAGAAAAAGTACCCACAGTTATTCAGAAGGGCAATTGAAATATTCCATCCTTTTCCAAGTACATGGCTTTGAGAGTTTGGATTATCTTTATGTACTTCAAACCAAACTCTAGGCCTCAACAGACTGAATGCAGAAACAGATGAGAATCTGTCTTCTATGGAGCCAGACGTTAAAGAGATTTACAAAAATGTAAAACAATGTTGCCCTTCTCACTCGTTTTGCTTTTAAAAATATAATCACTTTAATAAAAAAGTTATTTCTAGGCTTGCCTGGACAACATGGTGAGACCCCCATTTCTAAAAAGAAATAAAAATTTTAAAAATGTTATTTCTATCATCGTGTAATGGGCTTATTACTATTATTTAAAAATAAACTAAATAAATATTTTTATATTTCTGAGTTTCAATTTTTGTATTAGTAGATATTAACTCATAGAAATAAAAGTTCTTTGGGGTCCCCAGATTTTTTTTTTTTTGCAATTTTTGGCTGGGGCTGGGTTTGAACCTGCCACCTCTAGCATATGGGGCCAGAGTCCTCCTTTGAGCACAGGTGCCACCCCCCCCCCCAGATGTTTTCATGTAAAGGAATTTTGACATTTTTACAATATTGAGTCTTTAATACTGAGTCGGTATGAATGAGTCCACCACTTCATGGCTGTGTCACCCTGCACTTTCCTGTACTTCTCTGTGATGTTAAATAACTTGCCCTAGATCTCACAGCCAGCTTTGACAGCACCATATTCATTGCCTGCCTGCATCAACTCAATGGCAGGGAAAAAAGTAGCTCCTAGCACACAGACAGGTTTTGTTCATTATAGAAATATAAAGACTAGAAAAAACCTAGCAGTTAAGGGGGTTAGCATGTAGATCACTGAAACTGAATTCACAGGACACGGCCTTTTTTCTTTTTTCTTTTTTTTTGAGACAGAGTCTCACTATGTTGTCCTCAGTAGAGTGCCGTGGTGTCACAGGTCACAGCAACCTCAAACTCTTGGGCTTAAGTGATTCTATTGCCTTGGCCTCCCGAGTAGCTGAGACTACAGGTGCATGCCACAGTGACCAGCTATTTTTTTTTTTTTTTGGTTGCAGTTGTCATTGTTGTTTTAGCAGGCCCAGGCTGGGTTCTAATCTGCCAGCTCCAGTGCATGTGGCTGGAGCCATTGAGCTAGGGGTACCGCTGACACTGCCAGTTCTAGCACATGGCATCACTGCTCAGCACGCACAGCTGTTCATTAGAACAGTGTTCAGGGTCTTTCCCTCTTAAACTCAGCCAGCCCACACTGCCTGACCTCTATCCCAGAAAGTCAGGCTGCCCAAATATCCTGCATTATATCAGGCCCTTTGGAACAAGAACAGATTCAGGCCAAAATGAGCCAAGCTGAGGCGATAGGGTGCTTAAAAGGTCCCTATTAAGGAAGGAGGTGTGTGACCCTGGTCCAGTTTCTGAGGTTAGGGCTGCTCAGCCTACAGAAATGGCTTGTCTTCAGTAAACATCAGAAGGTACAATTTTCATCATTCCTTAGTATGATAATTATATAATCACCTATTTTATGAATCAGGAATGGAAAATAAATACAAACAGAAAATATCTTCAATTGGAAGAGAGAAGTTTAGGAAATTAACTACTACTACAAAGGCTGCTAGACACCAGTGGCTTAGAAAGTATTGAATGAACGATGGACAAATGCAGCATATCCATATGAATGAAAGAAACGTACCTGTACAGGTGACATATGTTCAAGGGAGAACTGAGCTGAATAATTATTTAAGATCTGTTCCAAATGTTCTATTTCTTCGTCACATTCATGAGTCTGTTTTATGACTACCTATAAAATATCCCCCCAAAAGAAGAATTTTTGTCATAATCGAAGGACTAGATTAATGGACTACTTCCATTTTCTATCCCCATCGGAAGTTCCAATCAACAAATATGTACCCATTCAGATGTCAATAGGTCTAACTACAGAGAACGTTTGCAAAGCTGGTATTTGACCTTCTTGCTCTACCAAATGCCAGGGCACTTTGGGCTCTACTGTGCTTGGAGTTCGAATCTCATTAGACACACCTTTACTCTTAAGTATTTCCAGTCTACTGGGCTTGTTCTGGGAAGTGTTTTATGGCATATCAACATAAATTTGCTAAATTTTTATGAAATTACTGGTAAGTCACATCTGTTATTTTAATACATGGGATATATATTCCCGAGGGGGGAGGGTGTTACACATCGAAAGGTAACATTACTGATTCCGAATGGACAGAGTATCTGATTGGAGTCATGATGGGTTTTCTTCATCCAGATACCTGCTACCCCTTGGGGATCAGCAATGTACATTTTATGAGTAAGAGGTTGTGGGTTAAAGAGTGGTCTGAATTTGCAGAATAAGGCAAAACTAACCAGAATGGAACTTGGAATCTAGTGTTTGAAGGGAGTAACAGACCTCAGAACTATTGATGGACTACAACATATGACTAAGTATCACGAAAGAGTTTTCAACAGAAAGCCTAGGTACTTCTTTGGTATGCTTCATAAAGAAGCAAAATGCTGGCTCGGCGCCTGTGGCTTAAGCGGCTCAGGCGCCAGCCACATACACCTAAGGTGGCGGGTT